CCAGGCCTGAGGCGCAGTTCCCTGAATCTTGCGCTTCGAGGCACGAAGCGCCGTAAGATTGCCCTGCTCTTGCGCCGCTATTAGGCATCGCCGCCGCACGCCTCTGTGACTGCACTGTTCAGTCGGGAGACAGTAAGACTGGGCGTGATAAGGAGAGCACGGTGATTTATGATCACTCTGCTCGGCCGCTAGCATTTTGCACGGCCACCGCAGGTATCATTTACTATCTTAGTACAGTCAGGAGGTTGTACGACTGGGGCTGCGAAAGAAAATGAAACCATGCATCGGGAATGTCGTACTTCTCATTGTTATTACCAGAAGTTTTGCACAATGCCCGTGGTCAGTGGTGAAGCTCGGATGCGTACCCCAGTATGCCATAAAGGTAAGCACCCAGATCTTCATACGTTGGAATGTTCTTGTGGCGGTCCCGGCGACCCCCAAAACAACCGAAAAACATCTCTTGCCCACTAAAGCTTTTTGAGTGCCAGAAACCTGGTAGTGGGCAAAAGCCTTTTTGGTGCTTCTGTGCAGCTAAATGTTTCTCGAGACCCGACATGCGGCCATTACGATTAATCCGCGAAGCCGGTGGAACCACAAACTTATCACAGGGAAGACCCAATGATCTTGCCCAGAACAAGACAAACACAAACATGAGCTTTGCCCCTAGGGTCTTTCGGGATCGAGAAAGCTGATATTGAGCACGAGGGTATGTAGTTTAGTTTGCTTCGAGCCTACCCTTCGACGTTGATTGGATGCGCATTCAGGCCACCTAGATCTTTAGATCTCTAGGTGGCCTAGATGGAGCTCCTAGGCCGAATGGTCTGGGGGAATGAGCTTTCAGGGTGAGGGGGCGGGGGGGTCGCCGGGGGGGTCGCCCGCATCCTTCCACGGGCGGGTAGGGTCCCGGAGCTCAGAAAAGCTTCAAGACGAGCCAAGAGCGACAGAAGACACCCCCGAAAGGGTACAAGAGGGCCTCGACTCGACGAACGATGGCCCCAAGACGCCCAAGACGGCCCGAAGACGGCCCAAGAGGCCCTCAAGACGCTCCAAGAGAGCCCCAAGAGCACTCCCAAGAGGGCCCCAGGCGCCAAAATCGTCAATTTTACATCGCTTTTTGAATGATTTTGGCCTTCTCGCCTTTTCGGCTTTCCGACACTCCAAGACGGCCCAAGAGGCCCCCAAGAGGCCCCCAAGAGCGCCCCAAGAGGCCTACAAGAGGGCCCCAAGACGGCCCAAGAAGGCCCCAGGACAGCCTAAGAGGCGCCCAAGACGGCCCAATAGGGCCCCAAGACGGGACCAAGAAACGGCCAAGAGGGGGACGAGGAACCGAGAATTCGAGACTTCCGCCCTAAGAGGCCCCCGGGAAGCCCCAAGAGGCCCCCAAAAGGCCCCAAGAGGCCCCCGAGCGGCGCCAAGACGCCCCAAAGATGCGCCGAAGACGGCCTCCGGAAGCCCCAAGAGGCCCAAAAGAGGCCCCAAGAGGCCCCACAACGGCCCCCAAGAGGCTTCAAGTTGCCTTCCAGACGCCCCCGAGAGGTCAACCACGAGATCCCAACCAACATCCATAAGGCCTCCTCCTCCTCCCCCTTCATCCTTCCTCCTCCTACTCCCTTCCGCCTCCTCCTCCTCCTCCTCCTCCTCGTGCCCCCCCCCCTCGTGTTGTCTTTCGTCATATTCAGGGTCGGCGGCAACGGCCGTAAGGCCTTCGCAATCTTCGAAACAGTGCATTACCCCTGAGACATTCTCATCAACTTATAAGAAGGATGACTCGTGGCCCGACGCATAAAAGGAAGGTCAGAGACACGATAGGAACTTTGGAATGGACAATACACTGCGGCCTGCCCGCCTACTGCGGCAATTGAACCGCGTGCAGCCCCATGGAGAAAGAGATACAAAGGTTAAGGGGGGATGCGTTTTTCCTGTATGCCGGGGGTTGCGGTTACGATTGCGAATGGAATGCGACGGTGTTGGCTCCCCGGGGCTCTCTTGGAGATCCTCTTGGAGCGCTCCGGGGGCATCTTGGAATCCTCTTCGACCGTTTGAACCGCCTCGTGAGCTGTCTGAGAGCATTCGAGAACGTGTTGGGAGCGATTCGGAGGCTGTCTTCAGTTGCCGAAGGCCTCCTGGAGGAGCCCAAAGACTTAGAATGTGGCGTTGTGGTATACCAAGAAAAAACGTTCGACACGGGCCCAAGGATTCGAGGTTTCCAGAAGAAACCGCACACCGTAGGAGAGGCACTCCTGAAGGAGCCCGAGGACAGAGGATAGGGCTTTTGGCAGGAGCCCAAGGACTTAGGATGAGGTTTTCGGCAAGGACAAGTGCCCTCAGGATGAGGTTTCCCACAAAGGCCGCAGGACGTACGACAGGGCCTCCCGGAGACGCCGAAGGAATTAAGACAAGGTGCGTGAGAGGAGCCCGCAGAACTAAGATAAGGTGTTCGACAGGGGCGCGAGGACTTGGGAAATGAAGCCCAAGGACTCCTGGGAAGGCTGCGACTGGGGCCAATGGGCTCAGGATCAGGTGTTCGACAGGAGGAGCCCAAGGACAATGACAAGATGTTCGACAAGGCCCACGGACTTGGGATAATAAAGTTCCCACTAGGGGCTGCAGGACCTAAAAGAGGAGCCCAAGGACTTATGCCAAGGTGTTCGACGGAGGCCACAGAGACTTCGGGGAAGGCTTGCGACAGGGGCCGCGGGGAGCGTCGGAGAGAGGACTTCGGGACATATGTTTAAGCGAAACCCCATGACGCAGGATGTGTTCGACAGCGGCACGAGGCCTTAGGGTCAGGTGTCCGACACGGGCTGCAGAACGAAGGAGCGGGCTTCCTGGAGAGGTGCATTGACTTAGCATGAAGGATTATTTGAGAGGAGCCCTCGGACAATAATAGGAACAAGCAAACTGACAGTGGGCCAAGATCGTAGGATAAGGTGTTCGAGAGGGGCCTAAGGACATAAACAAAACTCAAAGAGAAGCTCAAGGACTTATGACGCGGTTCCAAGTGAGCGCAAATACTTAGGATGAAAAGCTTGAGAGGAGCTCCCCCGGAATTGGGATGAGGTGTAAGCCGGGGACAACGACGCGCAGAAGAGAACCTCCCTGAGAAGCCCCAGGATTGAGGATACAACGTTTGAGAAAAGGCCACCCGTGTCTCCTGGGGCTTCTTGGCGGGCTGTTCGGGAGCACGGTCTGGAATCGTAGGTACCTTTTTTTTTTTCGTGCGTCTTCCAGCAAAAGGCAAAAGCAGTCACCGCTCCTGAGACGTCCAGACGAACACGTTGGACCAGGGCACGCTGGCAGGCAAGGGGCAACCAGTAGACTGAACGAGCTCAGTTCCCTCCTCCTATCCTCCGTCCTCTGTAAGACCGTTCGGCCCCCACACTCAACAATCGTGGAACGAGCCCATGCATCTGGGTAATGAGCGCCTGCGCAGCTTGGCGCGTCTCACGCTTACGGTGGACTTAAAGCCTAGGATCCATGAGCCCAGCTCCAAGTCCTAGAGTCTGGCTGCATCCTCTTTCGCAGGCGCAATTGCCATTCAGCGGCTGCGCAAGCACTGCCCACTCAACGACTGAAGTCAAGAAGGGACACGCTGTGACGCTGAACACATGCACGGGAAGCCATTGTCGCCTGCGTATGATCATCTTCACCCAATAAACCCCCTACCGCAAACCCAGCACGGTCGAGATGCTTGATGTAAACATTCAGGTACTGGATCCCCTCCCTCGTGCGCCCATGAGCCACCTTTACATCTACCTTCCCAACATGTTTCCACTTCGATGTTCCGTAGCTCACATCCAGGGCGTGAAAGTGAAGACCGCCAGACCACGTAGCCTCTACCCACACCCCTGTCATGTTCAATTCTCGGAAGTACAAGTCTGCGCACTGCATACCCATTTGCACCGCTTCAGCCTCTACATGAAGCAGGGCTCTCTCAGCGCGCTCCCCCTTTGGAATGTTGACCAGTGTGTGCTTGCCAGGCCTCCTCAGGTCGAAACGCTCGCCGTAGATGTTTCGTAGGTGTGGGTCCCCTGTGGCAGTCATGGCGCCGCTGGAGACAGCCAACGGTGGAACGGGCCCCGGGGAAGCCGTGGGGCCCGGCGTCGAGAGAGGCGTCGGACGCGGCGTCGGTGGCTGCGTTGAGATGACGGCTAGGGCCGCCGGGCCTCCGATGGCTTGCAGGGGAGCGTTGCCGGACGCGCCGGGCGCAGTGGCGGAGAGCGCGCTGCTGATAAGGGCAGCAAGCCTGGCCAGGTCTTGACCAGAAGCCTGGGAGCTCAACAGCTCTGTCGCGCTGTCCTGAACCGAATGGGCCGTCTCTTCCAGCACGACAATGCGGTAGTCGATGGTGACGTTGCCGGCCAGCGAGCGGCGCGTGGCCTCGTACTCGACGGTGGCGTCAAGACGGCTACCACTGTCAATGCTGCAGAACACCGCGACGTCTTCAGGGGCTACGGTACCGTTCATGTAACTCGCGATCGATGATTGAAGAGCCTCCCGCATGTCTGCGCTGCTGGAACAATCTGACGCAAACTTCTCGGGGTCGGGCACCGTCACAGCGAACTCGCCCTGGACCATCGGGGGGGCCGTCGGGGCGGGGGTCGGCGTGGGCGTCGGGCTGGCCGTCGGACTGGCCGTGGGGCCAGCCGCGGGGCTCGCTGCAGGGCTTGATGTGCAATTTCCGGCGTGATCGACCGCAATCTCTTCCGAGCCTCCGAACGCCTCCGTGGGGGCATTGCTGGCCGCGGCAGGCGCAGTGCTGGACAGCTCGTCGCTGATGATGGTGACGAGTCTGGCCAAGCCCTGACTGGAAGCCTGGGGGCCCAAAAGCACTTCTGCGCTGTCCCGAATCGAGTCGACGAGTCCGACAGGCGCGGCGATGTCGTACTGAATGGTGACGTTGCTGGTACGGTGCTCGTCGACACGCTGCCCGAAGACGCAAAACACCGAGACGTCCTCAGGGGTGACGGTGCCATTGAAAATTGTCGCGATTGACGTTTCTAGAGCAACTCGCACGTCTGTACCGTTGGAACAATTCTCTGCAAATTCTTCGGGGTCGGGGACGGTGAGGGCAAAACCACCTTGAACCGTTGTGCAGACCGTCGGGCTTGGCGTCGGGCCAGCAGTTGGGCTGGCTGTCGGGCTGGCCGTCGGGCTGGCCGTCGGACTGGCCGACGGGCTGGCCGTCGGGCTGGCCGTAGGGCTGGCCGTAGGGCTGGCCGTGGGGCTGGCCGTCGGGCTGGCTGTCGGGCTGGCAGTTGGGCCGGCCGTGGGGCTAGCAGTCGGGCTGGCCGTCGGGCTGGCCGTCGGGCTGGCCGTCGGACTGGCTGTCGGGTAGCGCGTCGGGTTGGGCGTCGGGTAGGGCGTCGGGTAGGGCGTCGGGTAGCGCGTCGGGTAGGGCGTCGGGTAGGGCGTCGGGTAGCGCGTCGGGTAGGGCGTCGGGTAGGGCGTCGGGTAGCGCGTCGGGTTGGGCGTCGAGGGCGTCGGGTAGCGCGTCGGGAAGCGCGTCGGGTGGGGCGTGGGGCTGCGCGTCGGGAAGCGCGTCGGGTGGGGCGTGGGTCTGGGCGTCGGACTGGCTGTCGGGCTAGCAGTTGGGCTGGCCGTCGGGCTGGCCGTCGGGCTGGCAGTTGGGCTTGCCGTTGGGCTGGCTGTCGGGCTGGCAGTTGGGCTGGCCGTAGGGCTGGCCGTAGGGCTGGCCGTGGGGCTGGCCGTCGGGCTGGCTGTCGGGCTGGCAGTTGGGCCGGCCGTGGGGCTAGCAGTCGGGCTGGCCGTCGGGCTGGCCGTCGGGCTAGCCGTCGGACTGCGCGTTGGGTTGCGCGTCGGACTGGCAGTTGGGCTGGCCGTGGGGCTCGGCGTCGAACGTCTCCGTCTCGGCGTCGAACGTCTCCGTCGCGGCGCATAAGAGGGGGGGCTTGGAGCAGGAGGACTATTCCCCTGAAAGAATTGGCCAAACAGGCTTCCAAGTCCCCCAAGCGCAGGTGCTGCACCTGCAAACATCGCACCGCTAAGCGACAACAGCGCAGCCCCAACACCCCCCGCTACAATGCCTGCTAGAGCTGCTCCTATATCTTGAAGAGTATCGTCAAACGAGCTGGCTTCGACCTCGTACCCAAGGGTGACGTTGCCATCAACCAATTTGCAGAACACATTGATGGCCTGAGGGTCGACGGTGCTACCAAGTTCACCATCGAGGTAGGTCGCAATCGATGCTTGAATATCCGGGTTATTTGTACAATTTGCCACAAACTCTTCTGGGTCGAGCACCGTTGCAGAGAGCTCACCGTACACCGCTGGGGGGGCCGTCGGGGCGGGGGTCGGGCTGGCCGTCGGAATGGCCGTCGGGCTGGCCGTCGGGCTGGCAGTTGGGCTTGCCGTTGGGCTGGCTGTCGGGCTGGCAGTTGGTTTGGGCGTCGGGTAGGGCGTCGGGTAGCGCGTCGGGTTGGGCGTCGGGTAGGGCGTCGGGTAGGGCGTCGGGTAGCGCGTCGGGTAGGGCGTCGGGTAGGGCGTCGGGTAGCGCGTCGGGTTGGGCGTCGGGTAGGGCGTCGGGTAGGGCGTCGGGTAGCGCGTCGGGTTGGGCGTCGGGTAGGGCGTCGGGTAGCGCGTCGGGTTGGGCGTGGGGCTGGGCGTCGGAGTGGGCGTGGGGCTGGGCGTCGGGTTGGGCGTGGGGCTTGGCGTTGGGTTGGCCGTGGGGCTGGCCGTCGGGCTGGCCGTAGGGCTGGCCGTGGGGCTGGCCGTCGGGCTGGCCGTCGGACTGGCCGACGGGCTGGCCGTCGGGCTGGCCGTAGGGCTGGCCGTGGGGCTGGGCGTCGTGGAGATCGATGATGTCAGCAATGCAGCGACAATGTCTCCATCCCTTTCTGTGGATACCGCTAGTCGAACTTGACTTGGAAGTGATTGGAACGGTGGGCAATTTACACCGTTGACGGCAACGGTCATTGTTGCGAGGGACATGTCGATCTGCACACGGATCACATCACCAACTTGAATACCGTGATTTGAACAACCCTGCCAACTACTTTGACCCCACTTGTTGCCTAGAAGTTGGAGACCTCGACCAGATTGGCAATTGTACCCATCAACGCTGCTGTGGTAGCATCCGCTCTGTCCAAGATCGTACCCTTCGAATACGACACCGAATGCTACACTGCAGCCTGGCGATTGAGTACAGCCATGGGACGACGCGACATATGCAAACGATGCCGTGTAAGTCCCTGACTCTATCCATGGGCCAAACGCTATGGTCCTCCAGAGCCATGATGAAGCCGCACTCCTTGTCACCGTTGAGCCGTCGACGACGTACCACGTGTTGTCTGGCTGCCAAAGGGACACCGGCGAAGTAAACACCTGCAATGACGCGCCGTACTCGTAGAAATACAACAGCACACCCCTTGGGGGGCTTGCCACCGACCAAGAATGGAGCCTCACACCGTTTTTGTACACGACAATCATGTTCGCCTCCCACTGAAACCTGAACACATCATGCGTCGTGTATGTGCTGTCGGCTCTACCAGGTATGTAGACTCGCCCTGCTGGGAAAAGGCCTATATATGCTCCATTCGGGTATTTCGAATTGTCTGTCAGATCAGCGGTGAGACCAACCCGTTTGTGTGCCCATGTCTCTTCAGCCTGGATGCTTACGCTTACAATGCCGTGCGCACTCGCCGAGGCATCGTACGCCGACCCACTGGATATTTTTCGGATCGTGTTGCCCACTCGCACGGCTTGCGTGAGCGTCCATGCTGCCGACGGGTCAATGTGCACGTAGTGGAGGCAGTATCCTTCTCCACATGAATATGCCATTGTAGTACCACTGTCCCAGAGACTGCTGATTGATGCACGCGTCAGGCTGTGATACCCTGACACATATCGGGCAGATCGCGAACCTGTTTCAACTCCGTTCACTATGGTTACACCAACCATCTTGGTGTAGCCCCCATGGTAGACAGCGAAAATCCACAAAGTGAAATCGCTTCGGTGCAGGACTGCACGGACATTATTGTACTGGGACAACATAGCGCTGCTTGGACCGACTTGCCCAGTCACGGTAAGCACTCTCGTCTCAGCACCCTGATGCGGGCATTGGCTCCCTCTCGCCCACCCATAGTCGTTTCCCGTGTAGATGCTGCTCGACCCTGCGAGCGCGCAGTCGAACCTTGAGCAGCTGCCTCCACATCCACAATTTCCAACCCACCTGCAATAGTCGTTGCAGATGCCCTGCCCCTGGACGTCGTACCACCCGCGCTCACAGCTTCCTCCGTAGCCCAGGTCTACGATGTTCTGCTGGGCTGGTAGTATGTAGCGATCTTCGAGATTATTCGGATCGAAGGGGTAGATCACTGGGGAGATTAATGGAAAAGTAGAGGCGTTGGTCCGCTCGGCCCCCTTGCCGTCGGCATCGCCGCTCTTGTCGTCAGCGTTCAGCTGCAGCGAGCCCGCGTGACTGAATATGGAAAGCATGATTGCGATGTGTGTTGGCCCAACGCATCCTGGAACGAGCGGCGGCTCGCCTCAGAGCAAGAGGTCTGGCGATGTGTACGTGCGATGCCGGAGTGCACCGAGATCCGCTTGTATGCTTCAGCTCAAACGGCTTGAGCTTGAGCCAAAATGGAGGGCCCGAAAGCCTTCTCGGAGGCGTCTTGGAGGCAGGGTTGGCTCTCTTGTGCGCCTCCTAGTGGCATCTCCGCGCATATTGGAGACGTCCTGGAAGCCTTTTGGGTGCCTGTTGGCTGTTGCCGTGCTGACCTACGCTACGCGACAATATGCAATGATAAGAGACGCTGTGATACACGATGCTAGTATGCTATGCTGTGCGAAGCAATGGAATGCCTAGCTATGCGACCCCTCCCTCCCAATTACGACAGCATGGCAGCCTTGGCATAACCGCCACCCCCACCCCCGAATAAAACCAGCACGACGTCCTTATGAAACCAATCCCCTCACCATCGAAGGTAAACCCGAATCAGAACCAGGACAACGTCATTGAACCACGCCCTCCAATTGCTGTTGGTGCTCCCCTCCTCGTCCTCCTCCTGGTCGTCCTCCTCCTCCTCCTCCTCCTGCTCCTCCTCCTCCTCCTCCTCCTCCTCCCCCTTTTCCCTCTTTACCCAGTAACATGTCGCGAACGCTTCCTGCGGCACAATGCACGAACAAGATGAGGTACCCTCCTCCTCGCGTCTCTGCCTCACCCCCCCTTCTCCTCCTCCGTCGGCGTCTGTGTAATGATGTGCCGTGCGCTGCTCTGCCTCGCTATGATTGCTACGATATGCCATCCTATGCCATGCTATGCTATGCCGTGCTACGCGATGCTACACTACGCTATGCTATGCCGTGCCGTGCTGACCTACGCTACGCTACAATATGCAATGATAAGAGACGCTGTGATACACGATGCTACTATGCTATGCTGTGCGAAGCAATGGAATGCCAAGCTATGCGACCCCCCCCCTCCCAATTACGACAGCATGGCACCCTTGGCATAACCGCCACCCCACCCCCGAATAAAACCAGCACGACGTCCTTATGAAAACCAATCCCCTCACCATCGAAGGTAAACCCGAATCAGAACCAGGAAAACGTCATTGAACCACGCCCTCCAATTGCTGTTGGTGCTCCCCTCCTCGTCCTCCTCCTGGTCGTCCTCCTCCTCCTCCTCCTCCTGCTGCTCCTCCTCCTCCTCCTCCTCCCCCTTTTCCCTCTTCACCCAGTAACAAGTCGCGAACGCTTCCTGCGGCACAATGCACGAGCAAGATGAGGTACCCTCCTCCTCCCGTCTCTGCCTCACCCTCCTTCTCCTCCTCCGTCGGCGTCGCCCAGGGTGCCAGAAAACGACCCCAAATAAAACCAGCACGACGTCATTGTGAAAACCAAATCCCCCTGACATCCAGGTGCATCCCTTTACGCCAGCATACGTGTTTAGGAGTGGCCACCCCGAATAAAACCAACACGACGCCTTTTATGAAAACCAATTCTCCCGACACCAAAAAAAAACAAGAATACAACAAGAACGATCTCCTCAAGCAACCACGGGCCTATGGCTATGTGTCTCTCCTCGTTCCTTCGACCCTCCTCCCATCGTACCCGCCCGACTCCTGTACCATCACCACCCTCCTCGTCGCGCTTCGCTCCTCCTTGTCCTCCTCCTCCTCCTCCCCCTTCGCGTCCCCCCGAAATGACACAGAAGTAGACCCCCTAATTCCCCTCTACGTCTGCAAAGCTGCCCGAGAAACACCACCCACGAATAAAACCAGCACGACGTCATTAAGAAAACCAAGTCAGCTGACACGGAAATGAAACCTGAATTAAACCAGAACTGCGTCCTTCACTCCCCCCGTGTACTCCTGACCCTCCTCCTCTTCCCTCACCTTCGCCCGGGGTGCCAGAACACGACCCTGAGTAAAACCATCACAACGTCCTTAGGAAAACCAGGCCCGTCCGACATCCAAGTAAACTCCTCTACGGCAGCATAGGTGCATAGGGGCAACCAACCCGGATGAAACCAGCACGACGCCTTTATGCAAACCAATTCCCCCGACATCAAAGTGAACACCGAACACAACCAGAACGCCCTCCCTATGACCCCCACCATGGTTATTTGTCTTTTCCCGTTCCTCCGACCCTCCTCCCATCATACCCCCCGCTCTCCCGTACCATCACCACCCTCCTCATCGCGCCTCGATCCTCCTCCTCCTCCTCCACCTCCTCCTCCTCCTTCCCCTCCCACCTCGCCTCCACCCGTAACGTCAAAGCAGTAAGCCTCTGATTCCCCTCTACGTATGCATGGCTGCCCAGTAAACACCACCCACGAATAAAACCAGCACGACGTCAGTGAGAAAACTAAGTCAACCAGCAAGGAATCGAACTCTGAAGTAAACCAGAACGGCGTCCTTCACTCCCCCCCTTTCCTCATCACACTCCTCCTCCTCCTCCTCATCCTCCTACTCCTCCTCCTCCTCCTCCTCCTCCTCTTCCATCGGCTTCGCCCGGGGTGCCAGATAACGACCGCGAATAAAACCAGCACAACGTCCTTACGTCCTTATGACCCCCCAGACATCCAAGTAACTCCCTCTACGGCAACATGTTTGTACAGAGCCAACCACCCCGAATGAAACCAGCACCACGTTTTTATGCAAACCACTTCCCCCGACATCAAAGTGAACCCCAAAACTTATGGTTGTTTGTCTTTCCTCGTTCCTCCGACCCTCCTCCTTTAATACAACCCGCTCTCCTGTGCCATCACCACCCTCGTCCTCCTCCTCCTCCTCCTCCTCCTCCTCCTCCTCCTCCTCGTCGTCCTCGATCTCATCCTGCTCCATATCCTCCTCCTCCTCCTCCTCCTGTTCCATATCCTCCTCCTCTTCCTCTCCCTCCTCCTCCTCCTTCTCCTCCTCTTCCTCCGTCGGCCCGAGGACCTGTAATTTCAAGTGGTCCAAACGCGCTGTGCATGAAACTGGGGTCCCCAGAACCGTTTCTGAGGATCCGCAGTGCCCTGATTGTGCAAGTGTGACTCTGGGCTTGCGTCATGGAGCCAGATTTTGGCGATGGCTGCGGCTTGGGGCCCTCTTGGGGGAGTCCTTTGGGCGCCGACAGGGGCCGTCATAGGCGAAGTCCCGGGCCTTTTGGAGCTCCTCTTCAGCAATCTTGGGCCCCTCTGAACCACCTGGGAGGATGCCGCCTGAGGGCGATTGCCGTTGGAGCTTCCCGCAAGTTGGACACCTCTGGGGCTCTCGTGGGGACCTCTTGTAACCTTCTGGGGGCTGTCTGGGCCGTTCTTGGGCCATCCTGGCGCCGTCTTGCGCCCTTTTCCAACTTGCGTGGTCTGTCCGGAAGCGCCTCTGGGATCCTCTTGGGCTGTTTGGGGCGCCTGGGGAACAATAAAAGCGAACATGCAAAACTCGACGGGGCCCTTAATGGAACTCAATATTGTTTGTCTCCCACGGGAGACGTGGACGCCCTGTTGATGCCGTCATGGGGCCTCTTGGCTGCGACCTGGGCCGTTTTCAGGCCATCTTGAACCCCCTTGGAGCGCTATTGGGGGGGCGCTCTTGGGCCGTTTTGGAGGCGTCCGGGGCCGTCTGGAAGCAATCGCGAGTCCTCTTGGAGCGCTCTCGTGGGCGACAGAGCCCCCCAAAAGGCCGAGAACCGGCCCTGGAGCCCAGAGGGTACACGCGGTTAGCGCGGGAGGGGGCCCAACACTCCGACATAATGTGCCGATGGGACCACCCCACGGGTGATAAGGGAGATTCGGGAAAGGGGGGGTCGGTCGATTTGCGATGGCTCTGAGTTATTTGATTATTTCTTCAACTTTCTTGTGTCGCTCGCATCAGGACAATCATCAGAACAGGCAACAGGCCAACCATTGGGACAACCGCGAGAATCAAACGCGGGGACACCGCGTGGCCATTCGCGAGGACGACCACGTGGACCACCAGGAGAATCATCAGGGAAACCATCAGGGCAACAGTCAGGGCAACTGTCAGGACACCCATCAGGACAACCATTAGAACAACCATCACCACAACCACCAGGACAACCAACAGGACAACCATCAGGACAATCTTCAGGACAACCACCGGGACCACCGCAGGCCAACCATGAAGACAGCCATCAGGGCAACCACCAATCCAATCATCAAGACAAACACCAGGAAAACCTCCAGGACAACCATCGGGGCAACCAGCGGGGCAACCAGGGGGGCCACCCGCGGCCGGGGGCAAGGCCCGGCGGCCCTTTGGGCTCTTTGTGGCTTCTACAATGGCTGGGCCCCGAACAGCGCCGCCTCACCCGCGCGCGCGACTCGAACCAAAACCGAAACCGACTACCCGGCGGGGCGCTCTCTGTTCCACTGCGGTCTCTCTCCCCCACCTCTGATACGCTGCTTGCAACGCATTGGCGCCACAGCCACGCATGGCGCTGCGCCGACTCCATTCGTCGCAGTGGGAAGGGCAATGTGAAACGTTGACTGCGCAGCCGCAGTGCGGGAAGGGTTGCTAGGGATCCACGCGGGCGAACCAATCCGGAGGCGCGGGGAATGGCGCGGCGGAAAAGATGGGAGCAAGGAGCTGGCTTTCTGAAGGACCCTCAACGCGGCTCGCTCTCGTCGCCCGAGTCGCCAGCAGGGGCCGCCGCCCTCTTCTCCACGCCGTGCGCCAACAGCGCGCTGCCGCGCCCCTTGCCGTAGAGGTTTCCCGTCGTGCTCGTTTGCAAAACCTCCACGAGCTTGCATGAGTTGTCTTGGGGAACCATGAAGTCGACGTCGGCCAGGCAGGCAGCAGCGTCGCCGTACCGCAGGCGCACATCCTCCAGCCGGATCTTCACGGCGGCGTACATGGCCACGTGCCCGTCCCTGGCCACACGCGCTGACTGGTGATAGACGCACGCCAATTTGCACGGGTTGGGGCCCGAGCAAAACCGCGAAGCGTGGGAGCGAGAGGCGCCGAGACTATGCAGAATGTTACGCACGCCCTGATCGATGCACCACGTTCTTCGCGACGAACCCGGACACCCCTCCGTCGGCGTCGTTGCCCAGCCCGCCGAACCCGCGGAAGTTGGCATAGATGATCTCATCTAAGAGCGCCGCGTCCCCCGCCGACTTGTCGGACAAGAAGCGCAGCAGCAGGTCGACGCTGCGCTCGAAGCCATCGGCGTAGTCGCCGCCGGGGAGAGTGTCGAGGACGTTGGATCTCCCCACCAGCAGGAGGCACTCCGACTTGCTCCCGCAGGAAAAAACTCCTGAGTGCACCAGTCAACTTCGACGTTTACATCGGCCCGAATCGTCTCGTCAGGCGAAGAATCTCGGCGCCCCGCAGGGGCCCCTGGCCGCCCCCCGCCCCCTGCTCCGCCCCCCGGCCCCGGACGGCGCCCCGAGCCCTCACGGACCGATGAAATTCGAAGTTGTCCAGTTTCTCCTTCGCTGGTGCTCCGCCGGACGAGACTGGGGTCGCGGTTGCCCCGCCCAGCCACGAAGCACCCGAGGATGTCAGCCTCCGAGAGCAAGGACTTCCCCTCGACGCAGGCCGCGCGTTCGCAATGCCGCGTGGCGTGCACCACCAACACGGCGCGCAGCACAGTCGCGCAGTAATTTCTCTCGCCAAGCGATGCATCACACGACAAGATATAACCGCGCACTCGCTGCTGGACCGGGTCGTCCACCGAGTCGACGCAATGGAGATTGAGCAGGAGGCAGCTGTTCAGGAAAGACACTGGCAGTGGAATGTCGTAGAGCGGGTGCTTGTATGTCTTCCGGGGGTTCTTCTTCTGCAGAAAGTCGAAAAATCTCCCAGCCCCGCCCGGCATGTCCACCGAGCAGCGGTCGACGGAGAACGGTTTGTACCGGTCAGAAGACTTCTTGTGCAGTTCAAGCAATTTCCGCAAAGCGACATAGCTCCGCGCCGCGCCGACAACCACATCCTGCACATTCTGTCCCTAAGTGCTGCCCCAGAGTGCAGTCATCTCGTCCCCGAGGCCCGCGAAATTCACAGGATGGTGCCAGCCCCGCGCGTTCACGCGCGCCGTGGGCGCCGGTGCCTCTGCAGCGGGCTGCGTTTCTGACCCCAAAAAAGACTTATTTGGGGCTACAGATGCCCCAAATAAGTCTTTTTTGGGGTCAGAAACCTGATAGTGGGCAAGAGCGTTTTGGCTCGTTTTGGCATCGCCCAATGTCAGTCGAGGCCCGACTGACTGCCGCGGCGATTAAGTAGCACGACCATAGCAAACAATAACTTTGCCGAAAGAAAGCCCAGGGGCCCAGCCCAAAAACACCCAAAAAACGCTCTTGCCCACTAAGTCTTTTTTGGGGTCAGAAACCTGATAGTGGGCAAGAGCGTTTCGGCTTGTTTTGGCCGCGCCCAATGTTTCTCGAGGCCCGATTGACTGCCGCGGCGATTAATTAGCGCGACCATAGCAAACAATAACTTTGCCGAAAGAAAGCCCAGGGGCCCAGCCCAAAAACACCCAAAAAACGGTCTTGCCCACTAAGCCTTTTTCGGGGTCAGAAACCTGATAGTGGGCAAGAGCGTTTCTGTTTGGTTTGCGTGTCTTTTGATTGTTCGAGGCCCGACAGACGGCCGCGGCCCCCGAGATGCACCTATATCATCGTCATCGTCGCTACCATCACTGCAACCGCTGCGGCTCGACGGCAGAGTGGCCCCAGAGCGTGCTCGTCGCGCCCTTCGGGGAGGGAGAGCGAGCGCCCGCCGCTCGCGGTGCCAGCTAGAACGCGTTCGGGGATGTCCTGGGACGAGGGAGATCGGGGTCGGAGCCGCAGCCCGCGGCCGAGCCCGCGGTCGACTCCCGCGCCCACTCCATCCGCAGTGTTCTCTCCGGGCAAGTACAAGGAGAGCGTCTTCCAGAAGTTCGGCCGAAGTTCAAGCGCTTTCGCGGACCGCTTCACGGCGGTGGCCGACGACGTCGACATGGGCGACGACAATATGTCGTTGAACGATCAGGTCGCGAAGACGCACGCTGCCGTGAAGAAGCTGGTGGAAAGGAACGCGGAGCGCCTCGGGGACAAGTATGACGAGCTATGCGTCGTGAAGACCCAGGTCGACGAGATGGAACGGGGCGGCGCCCGCGTCCACGACCTCTTCCTCCTGCGCGTGTTCATGGCTGTCTTCGGCGGGCCGAGGAGCCCGTGGCGCGCGCATGACGGGCAGGCGCATCGGTACCACAACGGAGCATTTCGGTACACCGCCGCGATGAACGTCCAGCAGGCCCTACGCCTGGAGCACGCGGTGAACCGAGCGGACGCGATCCTCCTTCGCATGAGCAAGGACAAAAACGTGAAGCGACCGTCTTGGGACGAGGGGTGGCTCCTTGACTACACGAGCCCTGCCGCGGCGACGCAGGCCGACGTGGACGACGACCCCGATGAGAGCTTCTCGATCGCGCGCAAGATGCTCCGGGAAAGTTTGAACAGGTTTCTCACTACTGGGAACAACGTCAACATCCTCAAGACATTCTGCAAGTGGTGCGACCAGCCGAAGCAAGCGGAGCCCACGTTGGCGTTCAAGGACAAGTGCTTGAAGATCCAGCCTGGCCAGGCAGCAAGGGAGATCAAGAAAGCCCCCGAGGTCAACTGCTACGCGTACATGGACTTATCCATCAAGTACAAGCCGCCCGCGGCCGACGTGGACAGGTACGACCTCATGATGGCCACCCTGTACGGGGACGACGTCGAATCAAAGGAGATCGAAGTCCTTGGCGAGGCGCTGGCCCTCATGCACAAGCGGCAGCCACCTCGCGTGCGGGTTCGGAAGGGAAAAGGCAAGGCGCTCAGGACCGCGATCCAGCGATCTGGGGATCTAGGGCGCCTGGGGGGCCTAGATATGCGATCTATGCGATCTATGCGATCTATGCGATCTAGGTCGCCACCTGTGCGATCTATGCGATCTATGCGGTCTATGCGATCTATGCGACCTATGCGATCTATGCGACCTATGCGATCTATGTGACCTATGCGATCTATGCGATCTATGCGGCCTATGTCGCCACCTATGCGACCTATGCGATCTATGCGACCTATGCGACCTATGCGATCTATGCGACCTATGCGATCTATGCGATCTATGCGATCTATGCGATCTATGCGACCTAGGTCGCCTAGGTCGCCGCCTGTGCGATCTATGCGACCTATGCGGTCTATGCGATCTATGCGACCTAGGTCGCCGCCTGTGCGATCTATGCGACCTATGCGATCTATGCGATCTATGCGACCTAGGTCGCCATCTGGGCCTAGGTCGCATAGATCGCATAGATCGCATAGATCGCACAGGCGGCGACCTAGGTCGCATAGATCGCATAGATCGCATAGGTCGCATAGGTCGCATAGGTGGCGACCTAGGTCGGCACCTATGCGACCTATGCGATCTATGCGATCTATGCGACCTAGGCCGTCACCTATGCGACCTATGCGATCTATGCGATCTATGCGATCTATGCGACCTAGGCCCAGATGGCGACCTAGGTCGCATAGATCGCATAGATCGCATAGGTCGCATAGATCGCACAGGCGGCGACCTAGGTCGCATAGATCGCATAGGTCGCATAGATCGCACAGGCGGCGACCTAGATCGCATAGATCGCATAGATCGCATAGGTCGCAAAGATCGCACAGGTGGCGACCTAGGTCGCACAGATAGCATAGATTGCTTAGATCGCATAGGTCGCATAGATCGCATAGGTCGCACAGGTGGCGACCTAGGTCGCATAGATAGCATAGGTCGCATAGATCGCATAGACCGCATAAATCGCATAGGTCGCAAAGATCGCCCAGATGGCGACCTAGGTCGCATAGATCGCCTAGGTCGCATAGATCGCGTAGATCGCATAGGTCGCATAGATCGCATAGATCGCATAGATCGCATAGGTCGCATACATCGCATGGGTTGCATATACCGCATAGATCATGTGGTCGCCTCCCTCAGGTGGCAACGGGAAGTCGCTGCGGTCGAAGCTGACCTTGGCTGCGCTCGGCGAGACCATGGTGAAGTTTGCCAGCACGTACCTCCTCACCAGAGACAGGGAGTTCCAGGTCTCCGCAAAGCGTCTCATCGGCGCCATGGCCGTCATCTTCCAGGAGGTGCAGAAGGGCGAGAAGATCCAGGAGGTCGTGGCTAAGAATTTGTTCGCCAGGGCAGAGCTGCTCGTTCGTGAGAATCATGGGAAATCAGAGGACGAGCGCCATTACGCGTGGACGTTCGCGGACTTCGTCATCGAGTTGAATCACGCTTTCCGCATCGAGTGCGACGGTGATGCGCTTCACGCCTGGCGGCGCCGTCTGCTGCTGATCGCCTTCGAGGGCGACTTCACTCGCAACACGGCCTTGGTCTCGGTTGAGCATGGCCTCTTCTTGGCTGACCCCGAACTGGAGGACTGGGCCTCATCTGGCGTGGCGGGCTTCATCCACATGACCCGAGGCATCCTGCCTCTCGTCGAGAAGTACTCGGCGTCCGCGGCCTACGACAAGCTGGACAATCCCTCACCAGCGCGCGCTGCAATGAACGAAGAGTTCCTGAACGACATCAGGGCGTCGGACGGCGGCGACGGAGCTGGCCTGGCTGGCGGGCTTCGTGGCCACGGCGACCAGGCGGACGCCGCGTCGGATCCACTCTCTCGGGCTTCCACGCTCCTTGCCGTCATGCATCTCGACGAGGACACCTGCATGACGGACAGCCAGCGAGAGCGCGCGAAGGCGGGGGCTTGCATCAAGGGGGGGCGGCAGTCTGACAAGAAGGATGCCTGGGACCGCATGAAGGCCGCGGCCATGTGGAAACCCGTAGTGCGACAATGGGGCCGCAAGGTCCCCTACTACTATCCAGCCTTGTGCGCCGACGCCGACCTCAGCGCACTGTTCCCGGACATTGACAACCTCGCGATTCCCATCGGGGCCGTCTTCCCCGAGAAATTCAATTTGGACCGCCTGAAGGACTACGTGAGGTGCCCGGAGAGGAAGCGCAACCACCATGCGCTGATCAAGCATCTTGAGGCAGCGCAAGCAGGGGCGGCGGGCGTCAGAAAGCAAAGCAGGTCTTCGCAAGATGACCTGGAAGTATTTCAGGCGTGGTCGCGACACGAGCAGTCGCTCAAGTCAACCTGGGCGGCGGCTAACCAGTTGCTCGAGGAACGTGAGGGCGGCGATGGGGCTCTCCAGGTCAAGTACCACTTCTCAGCCATCGGGGACTTGCGCGTGCGCAGCAGGAGACGCGCAGAGGGCACGGCGTCGCAGAGCCTGAGCAAGCAGATCCAGACTATTGTGCAGCCAGACGTCGTGAAGTTGGACTGGCGCAAATGTTTCCTGACCCTCGCGCCCCAGGTCATGAAGCGCATGAAGATAAATCTGAACGGCCACTCCTCGGAGCAAGGGCGCGCCATCGAGGCCGTTGCCGCATGGCCCGACATCGACGCCAAGAAGACCCTGGCGCTCAGCGTCCTGTTTGGCAAAAAGAATGCAGGCGACCAGTACCAGGCCATGGAGCGGGACGCGAGAGTGCTCCGCTGGGCGGCATCGTCTGCACTGCCCGACGTTTTCAAGGCCGCCGTCGAGGACGAGAGGGACAACCCCGAGCTCACGTGCGTGTCGAGGCTCCTCGAAGGGGCGGAGGACGCCTGCACCGAGGCGTTGGTGAAGTTCGTTCAGGAGAAGCGGGGCAGCGCGGTGTCCCACCTCGCTTGGGAGTTCGACGGCATCGGGGTGAACGTCGGCGTGCTCGATGACGCGCACGCTTTCATCACCGATGCTGAGAACTACGTCCACAAGGCGACGGGTTACAAGATGCACCTCGCTGCGAAGAAGGAGC